TCGTTCGAAAAATAAAACATATTTTTTGAACGAAGTTCAATTCGAAAATTCTAACATTGTTATAATATAAGTAGCGCTCACTAAAAAGCGTATAATAAGTTTCATCGAAATCGGTCGATTTATTCGAAAAATAAAACATATTTTTTGAAAGGAGTTCGATTCGAAAATTCTAACAGCGTCATCATATTAGCAGCGCTCGCTTAAATGCGTATAATAAGTTTCATCGAAATCGGTCGACTCGTTCGAAAAATAAAACATATTTTTTGAACGGAGTTCGATTCGAAAATTATAACAGCTTTATAATATTAGCAGCGCACGCTAAAATCCGTACAATAAGTTTCATCGAAATCGGTCGACTCGTTCGAAAAATAAAACATATTTCTTGAACGGAGTGCAATTTGAAAATTCTAACAGCGTTATAATATTAGCAGGGCTCTCTAACATGGCCATAATAAGTTTCATCCAAATCGCTCGACTCGTTCAAAAAATAAAAATTATTTCTTGAACGGAGTGCAATTTGAAAATTCTAACAGCGTTATAATATTAGCAGCGCTCTCTAAAATGCGTATAATAAGTTTCATCCAAATCGCTCGACTCGTTCAAAAAATAAAAATTATTTCTTAAACAAAGTGCGATTTGAAAATTCTAACAGCTGTATAATATTAGCAGCTCTCTCTAAAATTTGTGTGATAAGTTTCATCCAAATCGCTGGACACGTTCAAAAAATAAATTATTTTTTGCTAACAATTCACATCGCTCGACTCGTTCAAAAAATAAAAATAATTTCTTGAACGGAGTTCGATTTTAAAATTCTAACAGCTTCATAATATTAGCAGCGCTCTCTAAAATGCCTATAATAAGTTTTATCCAAATCGCTCGCCGCGTTCATTTTTAAAATTATTTTTGATCACCAATTAATATTATATATGATTTCTTGAACGGATCTTCTTCGTACAAATTACAGGAACTAATACAATTAGCTGCGTCATATGCCTTATTTAGTCGCTTTCTAAGTTCATTAACTTATTCCAGGGCGGTGTCTGTCAAACTAGTTGGTTGTGGGGGTACCATGACATATATAATAAATTTAATGTAATTGGTGTTTAACTTGACATCGCTTACAGTCGTCGAGTGCAGTACAGCCTTAACCTCAATCTCCCCAATTGATTGCAAGTAAGTGGTAATAAATCTGTTAGACCTCAACTTAGAGGCTAACAGAGATTCTACCCTTCATGGAAAAATAATAATAAACGACGAAATACGGAAAGCCCTTCCAGTTATTGTCAAAGAGAGAAAGATGTCGGATTCCTCCAAGCAGATTTCCTCGCTAGGAAGAAACTTAGTGGATTCATCCCTTTCCACCTAATAAGTAGTAAGGGCATAGTGAGAGATATAGACAAGGGAATCAGCGAAAGGGAAATCCTTAAAATGCATTGATGGAAGAAAAGTACTAAAAGTGGAAAAAATAAACCGTAAATCCACGGACGAGCATGGTATTACAGCATATCCCTAACTAATGCTATATTGATAACTTTTATGGGGAATATCCCCCAACATCTGTCAATATCTGGTACAATCTACGCACCTCCAGGTTTATTACCCCAAGGTAATTAAATGTATTAGATGTCTGCGTTTTGGGCATACAAAGAAAATTTGTAAGTGTAGGGAAATTCGTTACCTCTCTTGTGCAGAGGCGTTCTCGTTGGTTGAGTGCCCGGTCAAACTTTCCCACTTGTGCTCATTGCGGGTTCCCCACTTCTCCAACGAACACAACGTTCGACTCGCTGACGGAGATGTCCTGAATATCTCAAGCAAAAAAAACATTAAGGAGGCTATGGCGGCTCTGGACAGGATTCAAAATCAGGCGCTCCGGATCTGCCTGGGGGCCCTCAAGTCAACACCAATCAACGTACTGCACTCTGAGATGGGTATGCCTCCTCTTCGGTTAAGAAAGATTAGTCTGACCGCGCAATACCTGGTGAAATGTAGAGCCATGGGTCCAACTTGTGTCCTCCAAGCCATTCGACGCCGAGGCCTTCCGGTCTTCACCCTTCTGGATAACCAGAGGAACCCCGCTGCTGGTGCAGGAGTGGTTGGGTTCCGAAGCCGTATCCATGATCATCGCTCCAGGAATCCTACCAGACGTCCTTTCGGTACCTATGTTCACAGTTCCAACCTTCAAGTTCAAAGAAGATACTACACAGCCGACAGTCCCAATTAACCGGGCTCTATACAACTTTGCTGTCGATCATTTCCCTAAGCATGCTCAGATTTATACGGACAGATCAGTTAGACCTGACTCAGCGACTTTGGGGTCTTCATCTCATCAGCAGACGCTTCGGAGAGTGGTCGTCTACCGGATCAGGCTTCCATACTTACGGCTGAACTATTTGTAATTTATAGTGCTTGCTGCTTCGTCCGTCACCACCAGTGGGAGGGAAGTTGTGGACGGACTCGGCCTGTTCGCTGAAGCTCCTCTCAAAGTGTACGTACGCCATGAAAACTAACTTTCTTGTGTTATGGGTTAGAGCTTGTTGTAGGGATTTGTGGGAGGAGGGGACACATTAAATTCTACTAGATCCCCTCACATAAAGGAATTAGAGGTACCCAGAGAATCGATATACGGATCCACTATTCAGACACGTTCCCAGACCTTAAGGAGACTAACCAGTGGCAGACTTGGCATGAGATCAGGGAATCACAGAAGGGTAAGACCTATTACAACAACTTTCCAACAGTCAAGTACAAAACTTGGTTCCATGAGCTAAAATTCTCGAGAAAAACCGACATTTCGATTCTCACCAGACTCAGGTCGGGGCACTGTCTCGCTCCGGCTCATCTCCACAGGATGGGCTGGACCGATTTGAATATGTGTGCCTGTGGTAGTTTAGGAACGGTGAACCATTGTTTCTTCGAGTGCCCCAACAACTAAGCCATCAGTGTGGAATTAATTATTACTCTCGTAGTACTCAAAGCCCCATTGCCTACCTCTATCCCTCTTTTGATGGCATCTGGGAATCGTAACGTGTATCTGGCCGTCTTGGAATTTTTGGATATACATCCTCGGTAGGCGAGCCACATCTGTCCATCTGTCGCTTGGATCTGCTTTAAGCTTCTTCAATAGTTTCGGTACTTTCAATTGACGATGTGATTTCTGTAGTTGGCAGTGCCGCTTCCTTGAGCGCCCTCTGTTGACGGTTCCGCATATTCCTGACAGCGCCCTCTATTGGTGGTTCGGCATAACCGTGGTCCGTAGTTTGTATATTCCCAACACGGCCATCCTGACATTCGTCACGCTCTCGGGACGATTCAAATTCTCTATCCCCTTGGTAAAATTTCTGCGGCAAAACACCCTTTCGATTGCAAACATCATCAGCATTAGATTCACCATCACCTGAATCAGTTAAGCAAATACAATAAGCAGATAATCATCATATCAATTTCAAAAACCAACAACAAATTCAAATAAATAAAAAATCAATAAAATCATCACAAATCAGTCAAATATCATCAGCTTATGAATATCTAAATAAAATCTGAAACATCGCAACATCCAAGAAATCAAAAACAATCCAAAATATCTCATAAACAAAACAAAATATCAAAATTCCAAATAAATAAATCTGAAAACTAAATCAATAAACCAGTATCAAATCAAAATGACTTATAAATAAAAATCATCGTCGTTAATCCAGTCAATTTAAACAATACTCAAGCCAACTACTACCAACAAATATACAAAATCATAACAATCCATTCAAAGGCCATCGCCTTAATTGTACTTAGACACACATAAATATATATATATATAAAGAATAATTGTAGACATTTTCCTTACTTGCTTTTTTCATCACAACGGCGAAATAGAAATGGCGAAAACAGACAAAAGATTTTAATATTCATAAAAAGTTTTATTATAGAAAAGTAAACATTTGAAACAGTACCCGGAACCGATTGGTTCCGAATTCAACCGATTTCGGATGAAAAATCTTCTTCTCTCTCAAGGCATATGTACAAAGCTTATACCAACTGATTTATCGTAAAAAAAAAGATTACAATTTTGCCGTATCCCGTGAACCCCCCACAGTACGTTTAATTAATACCGAAGGAACTTGTAAGCCGTGTCCAATTTGGTCCAATTGTACTGAAATGCAGAGTCCCGGTTTGAACATTGTCTTTGTGTGTTTTAGCCCCTTGTTGTAATATACATCTACATATGATCACTGGGCAGTAGCTGCCGAAATTGTGCTTAACACAAGCTAATTGAAGGGAGTGGAGATTTTTTTAAAAGATGTTTAGTTTTATTTATTACTAATAGAACTACAAACTTGATCTTGCATTTACCATCCACAACTATACAAAGTAGGTATTAATTATCGGTGGAAATCGCAAGCCCGACAACCGAAATCCCGTCTATCGAAATCCCGAGTGTATCGAAATCCCGACAATCTAAAACTTAATAAGATTATTAATTGTGGTTATTTATTGTTAATAACATAAACTAATTTTATTATAGAATATTTCTTATTCTTAAGTTTTATAATGAATAAGTCAACAAAAAAAATACAATAATAATTAATATTATTTATTCTTATTAAGAATAAGTAACAACAATTAATAATCGGGCAAATGAGTCATCGACCAAGGTCTTAAAAATATTTTTTCAGTATCCGTCGTTCCTATTAAAATATAGAATAATTTAAAAATGTTATTGTAGAAATTATAATAATAAAAGACACGTGATTTCGAACGTCGGGCTTTCAATAGACGGTCTTTCTAAATGTATTTTTATAATTAAATATATATATATATAGTACATATTAATATGACCATAAGGCGTTTCGTTTCCACAGGACTCAATGCAATTTTTTGGAACCAATAACAATAAAATTGTATGTAGTAAAAGTATGTATGTAGTAAATTAGTAAAAATATTTTAAAATAAATGATACTAAAAATAATTTACTTAAATAAATACAACTTAAAATGCAAGCATTTATTATTGTATTATTATAAATCCTAATTTCATTTATTCAATCATAATCTAACATATAACAAATCTGAAAATCTTGGTAATACTCCAACAATTAAAGCTAATTTTGCTGAATCAATTGGTGCTTTTACAGATTGATCTATAGAATCTGAATCTGGCATCATCTACAAAATAATACTCATTATTATTGATATACACAATTAACCATTATTTTACCTTGTCAGCAACATGTTTCACGATCTGTCCATCTCCATTTACATAAAATGATGAAAAACCATCATACCAACTGTAACATGCAATTAATTAATATAATACATTTTAGATCTATATTATTAACTTCACTTCTCAGATTTATCAAATATTCCCTTATAGTTCCATAGTTTATACTTCCAAAACAGAATCATCACTTTCAAACCTGACACTCCACGAATCCTCCACCGTACTTTGATAGAGGAGTCCTCAGGGTTTTTGGTAATTTTTATAATTTCTAATTTGACATAAGCATATTTGAGGTGCCCCAGTACTCTTAATAAAGACATTTGTTTAACATAAGGAAATATACCACTTAAAAAAATAAATGTAATTAATTACAATATTTAAATATGTTTGGTACATACACAGTTTGAGTCCCTCTAATGTTATTCTCAAAAATAATATCTTGATGATAAATACTATAATCCAATGGTTGAACAAATAACTTGGGTAGACTTTCACTTAAAGTTCTATATACCATTTCTAACTGTCCATCAGATGGTTTTTCATTTGGTAAATTTGGCTGTGAACCTCTATGTACAATCTCTTGTTTTTTAATGTCTACTACTCTCAGCACAAAGTTATCATCATTTGTATTGATATGATTGTCTACGTCTATGTTTCCCACTTTAAATTCATTAGCTAATGTATATTGGCTATATTGTGAACATGAGAACTGAAAATTAAATAAATATATATTTATATTCATGTATGTATATATATATATATATATATATATTACATAATTATTTGATACCTACAAAATAATTACTAACCTGATTTATCTTAATTGGCAGTGAATAGCATTTGGGGCTACAGATGTTTCTTATAACATGCTGGTGCTTTAATGAAAATGTGCTTAGATTAATAAAACTGATACCAAACTGACGAAAACCCATAGCCATCTTCCTAATTAGAACAAATTGAAATGAATCATTAAATTTTACTTTAAATAAATAAATTGCTTCTGGTTCAAATTATCCTTCATAGATTTTAGGGTTATACTGAATTGACAGTCAAAATTGACAATATAATATAGATAGGCAACTCTATGCAATAGGCAATACAATAGAATACAAAAGTCAAATAAGAAAAAGTCAATTATGTTTTATAATCTTTTAATATGTCGTATGGTGTCGTACTTCTTAAAAAAATTGTAACATGAGGAAAGGTAAGTCTTTAAGTCGACTTTTTAGATCTGATGTTGATGGTTTAACTCTTCATTTTGTCTCTTTTCTGAAATCCCCCACTTCAGCGAGACGTACGAATACAAAGGCTTAAATATAATTTCTTCAAAACAGCGTTTAGTGCCCTTCCTTGAAAGCAAATATATCTCTGGCGCCTTCCCTTCATTCAATTTTTAAATGCTATGTCATAATTCCATTTTTTTTTACGTGCGACCTTCAATTGTATTTTGATTTCGGCACCCCCATTGTTTTACAAAAAAAGTTGAAAGAGAGACGTAACACGTAAAATTGACATTGCGGTTACTTAATAAAAAAATGTTGGGATGCTGTAGGGGGAAGAACCATTCAAACTTATGGACATATTCAGATAGACTCAATCATAAAGGGTTCCCTCTGACTTTAAATAATAGCTACGGCGTCAAAATCGAGGAGTTGACTGCTTTAAGCTGCTCCAATACTTTCGTCAGGATTGATATATTTTGTAAATTAATTAGGCTAAAATGTTTATATTTTTAAATCATTGACTGTATAAAACATGACTTATCATAATTTCTTAAATTAACATTAAACCATTTTTAAAGTTTATTAGTGTACATTATTATGTCAATTTGTATAGTTTTAAAAGTGACTTAAATTATAATGTTTTATTATCCAAAATACAGAATTGAAATTTAAGGACAAGAAATATATATTGGAAATATTAGCTTTATTATTTATTATAAATAAACATGTTTCTTAAAATGAATCACAAAAAAATAATTATTTATTTGTTAATATAATTCCTTTTGGCAGTGTACATTTCTGTAACTCGATTAAACCTTTTTATATTGTTAAGTCTTCCCAGTCTTCCTTTTCTTTTGGGGTAAGTAAAACGTTAATAGTTGAGATCGACGATAAACAATCATGGCATTTTGGTGCGATTGGGTTATTTGTAATATCTAATATCTGCAATGACGGTGCCTCCTTTATATCGTCAACCTCCACTTCTATAAAAAAAAAAGAGAGCTATAAATATGTATATAAATTAATTATAATCATACTTCACCTATTATATGATTATGACCAGCTTTGAGATTTTGTAGATTTGGAATCTTAAATATAGCATTTGGAAGAGAAATGAAGGTATTATAAGAGATGTCGAGGTTTATAAGATTTTTCAAATCTACAATCTCATCTGGTAGTTTGGATATCTGATTGTGAGACAAGTTCAGATCGGTAATAAGACTAAATTTCAGTGCAAACTTTGGTGTAATTTTCGTAATATCATTGCCACTTAAGTCACATGACTTCAGCTCTGTATTTCTCATTAGGTGGTAAACTGCATCAGGAACTTGCATTAACTGGCATTCAGATAAATCTAAAATAATAAAAACATAAGACTCACTTTAACATTATTTTTATTACAAAATATGATTGTTATTACAAGTATCTTCATTTGTTAGTATTTTTCATCATAATCATTTACTAATTATTACATTATTTCGTTATATAGTGTTATTTTTTCTGTAGTAACAAGAATTGAACAAATATAAGAAATAATATAAAAATAAGACTAAGTGTTCTAAGACACATTGGAACATATTAAACTTCCGCGACGCACTTAAATCTATAGTCTAACTTCTTAGGCAGCACACTAAAGCATTTATTATATTTTTAAATTTTCGCGGGTCACTTTAATTACGCGTAGCTATGAAGAATGTAAACAAAGCACGTTCATAAGTATATAACAACCTACATTTATGTACGTAATCCGTAAAAAAAAATTATAAAAATAGAATAGAATATCTTCTCATCGTCCTTATTTGGTTATACCATTATAATTAATATTGATATTCATTCTAGAGCATCATATTTAAATAATAGACAACAATAAGCACTGAATTAAATTGCGATGTTAAAGATCACAATAATTATACTAACACTAGAACAACAAACAGTGGCACTCTATATTATATTTACTTATTAGCACATGTCGAAGAATAATATTATTAAGTTTTTAATGAAGAATATATGTATTACCTAACTGTTTTTTTTCTACTGCTTCTTCACACCTTAAAATGACACGTGAAACAGCTGATGCCATATTGCTACCGATCTCGACATGAAATGAACCGCTGACTAATACTAAAGTTAGAACGCGTTATTTTTAGATTCGTAAATTTATTTTAAATTTTTAGGATTTAAATAATGTCAAACATTGCGTGACTTTTTATTGCAATACAACTCAAGATGCTAATCGCAAAACTACTAACTTCTTATGAAATGCAATCCCCAAAAAAATATTCCCTCTTATGATTCAGAGCCGTGTATTCCTTCATATTCATTTACATAATGTCGGCACAATTTGATACAATTTCAAAAAATTTAGATGACAATATTATTGATTTTTTTTTAGAAACTAATTTATAGGCCACTATAAAATATAAGTGATAATTACATATGTCTGCAAAATTTAACTTTATTGACTTACCTTCTGAAATTATGTGAATGCAAACTATATGCAACTTACAACTTAGCTCGTATATGTGCCAGTCTGTATTTTCTAATTTCAAATAAATAAATATAAGAAAAATACAAACAAAATAAGACATATAATATGGCAGGTCTGGAATATATATCATTCACTGATTGTTTTAGTACATATTTAATAATACTTCGATAATTTGTTTACTAGTTTTTTTTTCGGTGAAACTACTTGAACCTATAATTTAATTTCCGCGGCACATTTAAATTTAGATTTTTTTTAAATAAAGAGATTTATATTAATTATTATTTATATAAATCTCTTTAGCACTCTTTCTAACCGTTTCTGGTTTATCGGCCCCCACATTTTTTTTTGTCTTTTTTTGAGGATCGAATCAACTTCTTCGTATCCGATTTTCCTGATACAGGCGACTATGAAAATAATTTAATTAATGATGTTTTCGAGGCACACTGGTCCTACAAAACTTTAATAAGTAGTTCAGAATGTTTGACAATAAACATTCATTGAAATAATTAAAAAAAATAATTTCTGGTTTCATAAAAATGAATTGGCAGTGATCGTTAGCCCTTTAGTACAAATTGAGGCTAATCGAAATTAGTAAATAATAAAATGAATTTACTTTTTAATTAGTTGAAAAACTTTATACTTATTTATTTATATTTAAAAAAAACAGTATATTTCCTTACCTAAATTATTGTTTAGTTGCGCTTCATTACATCTCCCGACGACACGTATAATAGCTCTTCCGGCTAATCTTGTGCAGATCATCATAGCACCCATTCTTGGATCAGGAACATTATTAGCCTGATTGGTAATATCCTCACCAAATTGAGATGGGGGACGCATTTTGCACAAAATAATATTAATTTAATGTTTTTCACCAAAAGTAAAAATAGAGCTCCTTAGAAAATATTTTTAAATAGCTTAAATATTTTTCTAACAATGTACTTTTGGTTTCACTTTTGAGCGCGTACTACAAATGTATTAATTTCGCAACTGCACGCTCTCTTTTATTAATTCTTCCCCACTCTATATTCTGGATCTGCTTTGTTTACATACAAAGTGTACGCAGAGTACAGACATTAAAATAATAAACATGATGCACGATATAATTAAAAATATATTTTCAGTTTGAACTTAAATTAGTATTTTTTTTACCTAAAAAGGATCATTTATAAGAATTTAAAAAATTATAAAATCTTAAGTCACTAGTGCCTGAAGGAGTAATACAATATAAGGTTAAATTCAATTTTAAAATAATATTTATTCATGTTCCTATAATTTAAAATTATTATTTGCATTTCCTTTGTTGATATTCCTGGAACTGATTTTATTTCGAGACAGCATAAAGAGTCAAAAATACTTTTTCATTGGAAGCTGCAGTTTGACTATTTAAAAAGTTGTTTTTTTCTCCAAAAATAACTTCCGGATATGTAAACACTGCAATGGAGATCTATATACGTAGTATTTTTGATTTTAGATGCGATTGGAAATGAATAACTCTTTTCGTTAAATGAAGGTCGGAACAACGAGAAGTGCTTAGCTATACCATATTTCCGCATTCAAGTACATCGTCCTTATGCGGATATATATATATATATAAATGCGCGTTTGTGTTTGGCATAAAGGCCATGTGCGGACGTAAAGTCTATTTATAAGTGACCGTTTGGTAAGCTGCCAAATTTGCCAAGTTTCCTCCAAGAAAAAATGAAAATATTTAGTACTTAATTTTCTCTAAATGCGCAATATGGAATTTCCATATAAATTTTGTAGAAAATTTTCAAACACCTTTAACCATCTAATGTTTAATAATCTAAACCAAGATTTAAATATGTCTGAAGTACCAAACAGTTTGTAATGTTTGTTACTTGTAATAAATTTTACCGAACTTAAATAATATACTGTTATTGATAAATATATAAAATAAATATATTATGTCAGTTTGACGTTTATTTGTTCAATTTGAATATATTTGCAAATATGCCACCACCGTATGGGGCTGCTGGAATTCAAGATCCTAGATTAATGAAACATTTCCAAGACTATGAGCAGTATCTAAGGAAGGCAAGAAAAGAATTTGAAGGGCGGTGGTCCTCAAATTTTTCTGCAAATTCAGAAATTTCTGAATTTATGATAATGAGAACATTGGGATCAGGAGCCTTTGGTAGAGTATGTTTGGTCAAACACCGACAGCGTGAGAAAACATATGCAATGAAAATGTTAGATAAAAAGCATATTGTTAGAACAAAACAAGTTGATCACGTACATTCGGAAATTCGATTAATGGATGCAATGAATTTCGAATTTCTAGTAAAACTGGAATACTATTTCAAAGATAATTGCTATCTTTTTGTATTAATGCCTTATGTGAGCGGGGGTGAAATGTTTGGACATTTGAGAAAACTCAGAAAATTTGATGAAAGTTTAGCAAAATTTTATGCCGCTCAGGTTATTTTAGCTTTTGAGTACATTCATTTTATCGGAGTTGTTTATAGAGATTTGAAGCCAGAAAATATTTTGATGGATATTGACGGATATATCAAAATTACCGACTTCGGGTTTTGTAAGAAGATTGATGAACAGAGAACTTGGACACTTTGCGGTATAACATTGTATATTAATAATAATTGATTGGTTCTATATAACATATACATAAAATGAGATTGGCCATGGTCTTTCAGCTGGTGGTACATATAATTTATACTCTTATATGTTATTAAATTAGGTACTCCGGAATATTTAGCACCCGAAATCATTATGAGCCAGGGTTACAATAGATCTGTGGATTGGTGGTCACTGGGAATTCTAATTTATGAGATGTCTGCAGGATATCCACCATTTTATGCCAAGGATCCAATGCGACTATACGATAAAATTGTTTGTGGCAAGTTTAGTTTTCCACAACATTTCTCCAAATATCTTCAGCATTTGTTGGTTAATATGATTCAAGTCGATAGAACTAAGAGGTATGTTAATATAAGGATTATACATAATACGTGTGATACTCATTTAACTGCTTAAACGCTTTTAACATATTAAGCAGAGAAGTAATTATTGTAATTCTACTGGTGATACTTAAACCATAACAAACTTTAATTGCTACAATAGTATTAAAGCTTCGTATGATAGTGAAATAGTTTATTATATACTTACATTCAATTTCTAAAATATGTTGTTGGCAAATACGATTTATTAAATTAAATATTGGTTTATAATTTCAGATATGGTGTTTTGAAAAATGGAGCAAAAGATGTTAAATGTCACGATTGGTTTAAATCTGTTGACTGGGAAGGTATTTTGATGAAAAGAATTAAACCGTCTTACAGACCTAGGATAACATCTGCCGAGGATACGTCTAATTTTGATGAAGTAGAGGAACAACCATTCCGTACAAATTCTGTTGAAGAATTCCCAACAGAATTTGCCAATATTATTGTTAAAAAATATTAATTTTATTTTTAAATCAACATTACTTAAGAGCCTCAAATGTTTATTTATATTTTATTAATAAATGAAAACGAAAAGTTATAATAATACAAATGAAGAATATTTTTTCTCTACTTATACTAAACGACGTTATAATGAAATGTAATTAAAATATTTATATATTAAGAATCCATATTCCATAATTATCCACTGAAGAATATCAAACTACCAATGATTTATTACATATATAATTAAGATCAGATTATTTATTCCAATTTCTGATCACTTTTACAATTAACTGAGGAATATGTACAAAACACAATGAAACTTTCTAATATTTAGTCATCATCGTCATCATCATCGTCAGAAATGTATTTTTTTGCGGAACGTTTACGACGTCCACCGCCTTTTTTATTCTTCAATTTTATCTTCATTTTTACAGTGGAATCAGTATCGGATTTGTTATCATCGTCTTCGCCGTCATCATCATCGCCATCTGTTTCAAGACGTTGCTTTGCATTAGTAAATACAGACTGAAGAACTATACTATCTTCATGAATTAATGAATTTTCTTCATTATATATCTGTGCATTTTGGCATAGTAACATGAAATCTCTTTCTAAATCCGCAAAATCTGTATACTAAAATATAAACATTCAAATAAATATTAATAAATACGAATGAAATTCTATCTTACCTTGCCCTCATCAATTCTGTTGGCAATTTTTGTCATATCAATAGGTTTCTTGATAATGTCGTAATAATCTGGGTAATCTTTTCTCGGTGGTATTTTCATAAATGGTTCACTTAATAATCTCCCATCGCTGCAAATATTAAAATTATATTAGTTATATATTACATTATTAGTGCACATTTAAATACCTGTCTGTATACTTTAAAACAATATTCATTAATTTTCTCATTTGCTTCTTAAGCTTCGAATCAATACCAGACTGTCCTCTACGTCTCTTGCTACTGCTGGTTCCAACTTCAGAATCAGAATCGTCACCTCGTTTTCGTTTTTTACGTCCTTTTTTCTTCTTATTAATTTTTTCTTCCTCTTCTTCCTCGTCATCATAATCTCCTCCTTCATCGATTGCTTTTAGCCATTCTTTTTCAGTTAAGCTATCCGTATAATCAACTTCCTTTCTTTGCCTTGTACCTCTTCCTAAAATACTCTCTTCTGGATCTTCATATGCCCAACATTCGACCTCATCGTCTTCTTTAACCAGCCAGTCAGGCAATTCACTTTCTTCCAATAACCTTCCTTTCCTGGCAGATCCCAATTTCGCTTCTTCTCGTCTCCTCTCGAGATCCATTTTTTGAAATATTTCAAATTCAGCTTCAGAACGTGCTACCATTTGATTAACATTTTCATCATCAGGTACTTCATTTTCTTCTTCTTCATCATCACCATCTTGATGAAGAATACTTTGCAAGAATTGTTGTCTTTCAGAACCTGTCGATTTTTGGTCAAACATACCGGCTTGGATAACTTTCTCATCCATATTTAACTTATATCTTGCAGCTGCTAAAATTCGTTCTTCTACGGAATTTACAGTCATTAATCGCAAGACTCGTACTTCATTTTGTTGGCCAATACGATGCGCACGATCTTGGGCTTGAAGATCCTGGTGTGGGTTCCAATCAGAATCAAATATAATTACAGTATCAGCAGTTTGTAAATTTAAACCCAATCCTCCTGCTCGGGTTGATAGCAGAAATAAGAAATATTCGCTGTGACGACTATTGAATTTCTTAAGCAAATCTCCGCGATCTTCTGCTTTGGTTGTTCCATCCAAACGTAAATATCCAAACCCTCTCCAACTTAAGTAATCTTCCATGATGGTCATTAATTGTGTCATTTGACAGAAAAGTAAAACACGATGATTAGTTGCTTTTAACTTGGGTAGAATGCGGTCCAGCAATTCGAATTTTCCTGAGGCCCTGTATACATCAGGTCCTGAAATAACGCCACCGGCCATTCCAACATGATCGCAATATTTTTCTTCAATATTTTGAAACATGAATGGATGATTACATAATTTTCTGAGTTGCACAATAGTATTCATAAGAGCTTTAGAGCCACCTTTGCCTTTGTTTCCTTTCTCTGAACCGTCTGTAAGTAAAACTCCCTTACTTTGCATATGTTTATAAAGAACACGTTGTAATCCAGACATATCGCATTTAATAATATATTCCACTTTGTCTGGAAGTTGAGATTCCACTTCCTTTTTGAGACGTCTGAGCAAAAATGGTCTTAGCACTTTGTGGAGACGACGAATAATAAGTATAGTTTCTTCTTCGTTTAATTCAACTTTCTCCCCAGTCGTCGCAAATGGTGCATTAAACCATTGTTCAAATGTAGAACAACTTTTGAATATAGAAGGCAATAAAAAGTTTAAAAGTGCCCATAATTCAGGAAGTTTATTTTGTAATGGTGTTCCAGTGAGCAAAAGTCTGTGTGGCGCTAAATAATGAGTATTCAAAACTTGGGTGAGCTTGCAGTGATGATTTTTCATTCTATGCCCCTCGTCAATAATCATATATTTCCATGGGAGTTTAGCTAAAACGCCCTTGTCTTTTATTACATATTCATATGTTGTTAAAAGTACGTTGAATTTAGTAGCTCTCATCTGAGATTGGATTTGTCTTCTACCAGCTGGTGATCCTTTGTACGATACAACTACCACTGAAGGAGACCACTTTTCAAATTCCAAAACCCAATTGGAAAGCGTCGATAGAGGAACAATAATCAAGAAAGGTCCATTAACTTTTTTCTTTTCCATTAAGTACGTTATTAGTGCAATCGTTTGAATGGTTTTACCAAGACCCATCTCGTCAGCTAAAATTCCATTCAGATTGTTATTGTATAAAGAAACTAGCCATTCAAGACCCTTAATTTGATATTCTTTCAAATTGCCATTCACCATAATTGAGGCTTGTTCTGTAACTATTTCATGTACTGTATGAGCTATGCTGTAATACGTTTGTTCCTCATTAGCATTTTTATGATACTCGTCATCCTCGACTTTAGCCTTTTTAAGAACATCTTTGACTTTAGGATCATCATTTTTATTTTCAGACTTTTTATGCGCTACAAAGAAAATAAATTTATTATTCTATTAATAAATTTAATAAATCTAAACTTACAGCCTTCTGGATCATCATCTGAATCATCATCACTATCTTCAACAACTTCCCAGCCAGGATGACATTCAAGCCACTGTTGAAGTTGACTTAACAATGGCGCATCTTCTCCACTTAATATCTTACCAGAAGAAGTTTCTACAACAGTGACTGGTCTATCTGAACCCTGAGAACCTTCATCATCCACTTCCATGCCATCTGCACCGACTTTTGTCTTCTTCTTCTATAAAATAATAGTTATTAAAAATTCTTGTTCTGGTCTATAAATAATGCCTTTTTCAAGTTTACCTTTTTCCTCTTCTCTTCTTCTTGTTGCTTTCTTCTTTGTTCAATCTTATGCTGTTTAACCATTTCAGTAAGGTTGGAAATGTATTCGTCTGTTTGTGAAAGTAAGAACGCCAGGCGTTTATCTTTCTTTTGATCAATAAGTTTCCTATAGCCTTCTTCATCTTCAGCCATCAGTCTTCTCATACGTTCTTTTTCAATTCTCTCCTGTTCTTTCTTCTGTTCACGTTCCGCATTTGCATGATAATTCATTACAGCCTTATTTAATCGTGCCAACTTTGCTTGATTATTTCTGTGGAAATCTTTAAAATCTTTTCCATGTTGAAGAACTGAACCTAAAAATTCTTGATGTTTCTGGCGACGCTTTCGTTCGGCTTCCAATTTTTGTTGTTTTTCTAGTTTTTCCGTAGCACGTGCTTCTCTAAGGCCCTGTCGCTTGGTACGTTTGTATGCTTTTACATTAACTGCTGTTTCTAAAGTTGTATCCTTACGCGTACAGGCTATTATTTCGCTACGTAATTGACGTTGAAAATTTAAGCATCTCAAAGCTCTCAATTCAATCTGAGCTTGAATGCGTAAATCTTCAGGCATGTTTGTAGGTAAGTTACTAAGTTGATCCATGCGGGCTTGTATACGAGATGCTACACGATTTTCACGTTCTTGAAGAATTACTAATGGATCTATCCCTACTGGTTTCGATAAAGTAGTAACACGATTTTGTTTACCCTGAACTTGCTGCTGTTGTTGATTTGCTTGTCCAGGACCACCAGGACGAACACCATGCGGTTGCCCAGGTAAAGGTGGTTGCAGAGAAGGTTTTTGTGCAGACTACATATACAAAATTATATATTAAACACAATTCATCAATAACATTAAAGAATACTTTTAAGTTGTAATTATTTAGTAAAATAAATGTTGCAAAAGTCAAAGCCTGGATTGATAGCTTATTATATTCATATTATTAATTGCTTGACGCAGATAGTAGTGTGCGAAATCGTAAAATACTAAACAGTGTAATTATTGTTTTTACCTGAGGTGGAATTGAAGTTGGACCTACTATATGTTGAGAAGCAGTCGCACTTGGAGGAGCTCCCGGAGGTCTCATTGGTTGTGGTGGAAGTGGAGGCCCTGGTTGTTGTTGTTGCTGCAGTTGCTGTGGTGGTGTTTGTTGTTGTTGTGGTGGTGGTGGTGTTTGTTGTTGTTGTGGTGGCGGTGCAGTTTGCTGTTGCTGGGATGTTGGTTGTGGTGTATTACTTTCAGATGACGAGGATTCATTCACTTCGCCAGAGGAGGGCGGCGGCCCACCACTCTATAATAACCAGTTCACCTTGTAGAATTTTTCTAAATTTCTACAAACTACTCGTCTTTCATTCGATAAAACAACATGCACACAAAAAAGCTTTCTACGATTTCCAACACTACTTAAAAATCATTGCATCTTTTTATAAAATTATATAACTACATAATAACAAATTCTAAACAAACGGCTTTGTGCAACTTCTACTATAATATTAGTTTATATACATATAATCATGCAGCAATGACTATTAATAATTTAAAATGTTAATATTCAATTTATTTTAAAGATTATTTTTAGAATTATAAATAATTATTATGTCTATTATTTTATATAAAAGCTATATATATATTTACTACTTATAATATAAATGATCAAATCATACAACTTACCTGAGGAGCTTGCACAGCTTGTTGGAATGGACTCGAAGGAGGCGTTGGAAATTGTGGAGTACCATCAGGTCTTTTACCCTGTACTGCCATTGTCATTTGCTGAGTCAATGGTTGGTTTCTAGCTAACATTCTATATGCTAAAATTTGCGACCTACAACATAATTACACGTTAAGAAAAGTCATAAAAAACCGTATTTTAAAAAACTTGTTGACGTTACCTAAGTTGTTGCATTTGCAACTGGTTAAATAGCGAATTACTGCCATTTGTGCGTGCACGCAGTGCTAATAATTGTGAATAGCGAGGGTCTTCTTGCATTCCCTTTTCTTCCATGGAATCTATTGCTCGCTGAAGAGCACTCAAATTTTCTTGTCCCTGAGGTATTGGAGGTCCTGGTTGTGGAATTCCACCTGGAGGGCCTTGTGGTCCTGGCGAGGAAGTGGGATTCTGAAAATAAAAATATATATTAATATAAATGAGTTCTAGACATATCAGTCATATCAAGTATTACCTGTCCTTGTGAGGGATGATTAATTGGTGCCATTGGAAGCCCTGCATATGGTTGACCAGAAGGACCTTGTATATTATGTGGCATACCATGAGGCGATGGCCCCCCTGGTGCACCTGCTTGCATATGTCCTGTAGAGGGATGCACTTGACCTGGTGATGGACCACTAGGATGTTGTTGATGTGGTCCTCCAGGGTGACTATGTACTGGTGGAGTGCTGTTCGTAAGGCTTTGAGGGCCCCCATGATGACTCTGAGGTCCTCCAGGATGTCCAAGAGAATGTCCTTGAGGACCACCTGGATGTCCTTGCTGTCCTCCAGGATGCACTGGTGGACCACCTGGATGTCCTTGCTGTCCTCCGGGATGCACTGGTGGACCACCTGGATGTCCTTGCTGTCCTACAGGGTGCCCCGGTGGACCACCTGGATGTCCTTGCTGTCCTCCAGGATGCCTGGTGGACCACCTGGATGTCCTTGCTGTCCTCCAGGATGACCTGGTGGACCACCTGGATGTCCTTGCTGTCCTCCAGGATGCACCTGGTGGACCACCTGGATGTCCTTGCTGTCCTACAGGGTGCCCTGGTGGACCACCTGGATGTCCTTGCTGTCCTACTGGATGGCCAGGTGGTCCTTGATGCCCTGGCGGTCCTCCAGGATGTCCTGGCGGTCCTCCTTGATGTCCTGGCGGTCCTCCTTGATGTCCTGGCGGTCCTCCTGGATGTCCTGGTTGTCCTCCTGGATGCCCAGGTGGTCCACCAGGATGACCTGTTGGCCCTGCCAAGTGACTTTGTTGCCCTCCTGAATGTCCACTTGCATGTCCTTGTGGTGGCATTGCATGATGCACATGAGGAACTCCTGCATGTACTTGGGCCCCGGAAGGATGTCCTTGTGGTATAATAGAATGACCTATAGGGCCACCAACATTTCCTTGTTGACCAGCAGGATGTACAGATGACCCAACATGGCCAGACGTTACTTGATTGGGGTGTCCTTGATGAACTTGCATTGGTGGACCTATCAATCAAATGAAATTAATTGTATATAATGCTTTATAAAATAAAATAATATATAGGATGGAAAGACTTTGATCGATAGCCCTTTAAAATATGTTAAAAAAAATGTATGTTCATACAAGAACTAAATTTACTTTGACATTAATAAAATTATTCAGAATCTTACCAGAATGTCCCTGTTGTGGTACACCCATGTGTCCCTGTATAGAGGGACCTTGATGAACAACTCCAGTAGGATGGCAAGGAGGTGTTGGTACACCAGTTGGTGGACCATGAGATGAGGGCATTCCTGGATGCCCTTGATGAGAAGACATTCCTGAATGCTGTGGAGATTGCATGTGTGGACCTGGTGGACCTTGTGGATGATGTCCTGGACCTTGTGGAGGCATTGGGCCAATATTTGCTGATGGTGGTCCATTGAGATGACCCGATGGTACTTGATATGGACTATGTGGTGATGGACAAGGTGCCGGACTTTGTGATGGTGGTCCCATTGGACTTGGTGCCTGTGGTGGAGGCATTGGGCTGCTTTGCGGTGATGGACTAGCCATAATATGCTGTAATCATGAAATATTTACAATTCAACTTGAACATACTGAATATTTGGTTGCATAAAATGATGAAATACACAGGAAACATAAAATGATATAATTATTGATAAATATAATAAAACTTAAATGTGTCCAGTACATTTAAATATATTATATTTGGTATATTTATAGTTGAAGCAGAATATGGACAAATGTATATAAAGTAAACAAATAAAACGACGTTGATGCGTCGTAGTTGGCGTGGGCTATTTAACTGAGCCGGTTTTATTCGGTTTCATTTCATGACGCTTTCTTTGCAGTTCACATCAATACGAAATGTATTCATGTATCGAATAATATGTACACGTATGAAACACTAATTCAACAGCAAACATTAATTTTCATAAGCGATTTATAAAAAAAAAGTGAGTATACGTAACGAGTAATGTTATTAAATCTGCATTCGCTATAGAAACACGCCAAACCTACCTTCGCAATATTTTCCCACCTAGTAGTGCAGAATAATTAACTGAATATTCATCTGATTATTTCCAATTAAGTAACTTAACGAAATCCATAGTCACTGGAGAAATCGGTTTGCATAAACTCTATAAGTTAATCTTACAAACGAACAACACAACATCGGCCATTTTTCTATCAACACTATCTGCTCATGCTTTCTTCTGCGCATGCTTTACAATGATTCTAACATGGCCATAACATAATCCCCAGTTTAGTAAGGTTTAGTCGGTTTAGTTTATTGCTTATTAAGGAATGTAAGGCAGTTCTCGCTTGAATCTATACACTATTATAATTGATTATTTACACTCGTACCGTAAGTAATGGCATTTATTTGTAATTAATGATATGTCTACAAAATTTGCCTGGTTGCATATACTATTTATCTTAAATTTATTTCTTATACATCTTAATTGGTTAACAAAATACCGCCTAACGCCGACTAATTTATCATTAAAATAAACATGTGTTTTCATTCTAGCCATGGCTCTATCAAAAATAAAAGAAGATTTACTTGTTTTGGGTTATCCTAATATTCAATTAATGGATGATGAAGATGTTGCTGAAGTGTTTAATGCAAAAAGAAGAACTTCATTCTTAAAATGGTTTTTGGACAAAGTTGGTGGCTTCATATTACCAGCAGATGAAAAGAAATTGCATTCCATATTGGGAGACACTCTGAGTGACTTAGGTTTATGTCTTCATTCACAAAAGGATAAATTTGTTAATGGTGATTTATCTTTAAATATTGCTGATCAAGTGTGTATACTATGTATAACAATAACCTATTAATCAAGAGCAACACATTTTAGTTTACCATTTTTCTAAGGATTTTGGATTATTTAAAAGTTGAGGCATATGGACAAGAAATCAGTAAAAATAAGAATCATGCTACTTTTGTTAAAATGGAAGAACTGGAGGATTGTGTAAATATGGACATAAATCTTTTTTATGATAATGGACCTTTCATAGGTATAACGCAAAACGAAAGGAATTTGAAAATGAATCAGTTAGAAGATAAAATAAACATGTTGGAGATTGATGAATTAATAACAGAAGATGTTATATGCGATGTAATACCAGTAACTGAATCCTTTTGTAATTCAACGTTATCGTTGCAATTTACATTGCACAAATTTTACGAAGTGGTGGATAATCTCTATATCTTTGATAAGACAAAGGTATCCAGAGAAATGTGTGATGAACATTTCGATTTAAAATTATATCATGCCAAGAAAATAATGGAATCAATTAAAGAGGTTTGATGTTATGTTATATTATTTGTTCTATATATTTTATATGTATTTTTTAGTATATCCAAAATATTAACACAATTATAGGATTTCAAGAGCAAACAGTACCAAGCATTATTAATATGGATGCTAAATATTTAAAGGTTCTTGTTGAAACCACAGAATCAGCTAGGGAGTTAATTAATATACAAAATCTGTTTAAATAATATTTCGTATATAATAAATAGTTTGAAAATATTGCAATTAATGTTTAACCAGAATGCATTAATATTCTACAAGTGTTTAGAAATAATGCAAATTTTAATTATATATTTGAGTATATTATAACTATATATATTCTTTCAAACCATAATTAAACTACATTCTTTTTATACTTACCATTTTTATTGTAATTTCAATTGGGCCTGAATTTTAACCTTATTGATAAATATAATCTTAGGCAACCAGTTTAGCGATGTTCTACAGCATATGACTGACAAAAGCGACGAGCGAGACGAACCAAGTAAAGTGTCAGTCGCATCCACTAGGTGGCTGCGTCGCAACTATGAAAAAGAAGATTTTCAGAATGTTCATTATTTGTTAATATTTACTTAATAATTCAACTTCAAAATTTTGTAAAAAGCTACAATTGAATTAAGAATTTATGACCACAGATGTGGTCAAACATCAATTTTTCCATTACCATTGCTACCGCGGTTCCCATTGAAGCGGGTTTTATAGGCGTGCCTTGGAAAATCGAGTAACCGTTAAAGTTTAATCCGAAACATACCTTCAATTATTATTTTATATTAATTGAAGCTACGGAGCAACGGAGGTTTAAAAAAGATCAATAATTTTAAAACATTAAATTATTTGCCGCTTATTACTAGTAGCGACAAACTAAGATTCGATGAATGCGCCATCACATTGGCTACATAATTGTTTTTTTTTATAAGCTTAGCATTGGTACCGCGAGTGCGGATAAACAAACGAATTGAAATCTATACGGAACTTGGAATTTCGAAATTTTAGCAACGACTGTTGATTTTTGCATACGTTTTCGGAAGAACGCGTTATTTTATAGGTTTAAAAATATATATATATAGTTTAAGTGCATTTTAATTACGGTAGCAATTAAGTAATCACATATTGAGGTAGTGACCTTAAAATAATATAAAAACAAATCATTAAAATGATTGGTAAATGCTTGAACTTAAATTGAACATGTTAACTATCTATCGCAATGTAAGAGCACTTCGAATGATTTAATATATATATATTTTTTTTATAAAATTGCAATTTTGTTCTGGGTAAATCCAAAATATGTGATTCACGGTTTAATACTTGCATGTTGTTCTCTGAATAACTAAATTTATTCGCAAGAAACTTGTTTTTTTCTTTCAGGTTGTAATTATAAGTCAAGTCAAGTTGAGGAGAAGATTTTTGTTATAAATTTAAGATAATTAATTATTAAATAAATGTAATTGATCTAGTCTAAAATTCTCGTATGTGCTTAAAATATGATGAACATGAATTTAATTAATATTTAATGATTATATCCTAGGCAGTAAGAACTACGGTTAGTGCATTATATACAGAATATATACAATTAGCTTTGATATAGTGTCATATCCATCATAGGTTAATGATACTAAGGACTTGTGGTGGCCTAGTGTCGAAATAAGTAATTTACATCAATAATAATAATAATAAAAAGAGTAAGGGTTAGATTTTACTATATAAGTAAAAGAAAATTTCTCATTAATTCTGTTATTTACAGAAATGTATTATAAATTTTAGTGTTTTTACATTTTAAAACTATTTATGTTGCTGATTCGCAACAGTATGAATAGGTTAAGAATTTAATTTATAAAAGAAAAAACCGTTTATAATGTCCTTAGATGAGAAAAGAAAAACACAAATATTACAAATATGTATTACGTTCATATTTTTTTTTGATATTTGTGTAAATATTATTTATAAAGTGCGAGGACTTATGTATAAATATAATGCAGTCTACTAATGCCACAATAAGCCTAAACAATTGTTATGGTAAGATTTTAAAAAATCTCATAGAAAGTATTTAGCAAACTGTAAGAACAGCGTGTATTTTGAACGAGTATACTCAAGGTCTTTTATAAGAGCAACGCACATAAATCCTTTGGTTTTGCATCAAAATTGCTCAGTATTGTTTGAAACATCCTAAAGAGAGAAAATTAAATCTTAAAATTATGGAGAGCGAGAACGATATCCAATTCTATTATCAGTACGTTCTGCAATTAGTAAAGGAGGCAGGCCAAGTAAGTGAGATTTAATTATATTTATATATACAAGAATATAATAGCAAAATTATAGTGAAAAAAAATAACTTGTAAAAATTATTAGGTTCTTTTAGAAGCACGAGATATAAATATAGAGACAAAGGATAATAAAACTTGGGATTTAGTAACGCAGTACGATCGAAAAATCGAGGATATTTTAATTAAACAAATAAAAAATAAGTTTCCCGATCACAAGTAAGTTTACGTGTAAAAAATATTTGCCCTTGTATGGTAAATCCAAACTAGACAAAACAAATATATTTACTACAACATAAAATGATATGTAAAGTTACAATTAGGTTAATTAAATATTTAAAAGTAATTAAAAATGACATTATCAAAGTGATAACTAAATCTAAACCAAATAAACCGTTACACTAAATATTAAATGTAATGGTTTGGATTTTAGCATGTTAATGATAATTTCTACCGAAAATCATATTTTACTAAAATTTTAAATTAAATATAATAAACTTATAAGAATTTCTAATGAATAAATTCGAATTACATGAGTTTTATTCATTTAGATTTATTGGCGAAGAAGAATGCTCGATTGCTGGTAGGAAACCAATATTAACAGATGACCCAACATGGATTATAGATCCAATCGATGGAACAGCAAATTTTGTTCGTAGTTTTCCAATAACATGTATTTCAGTAGGTTTAACTATAAACAAAATTCAAACCATTGGAATTATTTTCAATCCATACATGAACGAATTATTCACAGCAATTAAAGGAAAAGGAGCGTATTTGAATGGAAGAAGAATATCTACCAGTCAACAATCTGGTGAGTATAATTCAGCAATTTGATTATTAAATGAATATATGATATGAACGGTATATAAATTTACAGAAATAAGCAAATCTGTTATGAACTACGAATTATCTCTGGCTAAAAACCATGAACTAAGAGAACTTTATATGAAGAGATTTAAGAATTTGATGACAGCAATTCAGGGGTGAGTGTAAATAGGTTCTTCATAAATGTTGAGTTATTGTAAGTGGTGGTATTCAAGTACTTGATATTTTTTTGTTCAATCGCATCATGTATCCAATTAGGAAGTTAAATTAAATATATATATATATATGTTTTTAAATTTTAAGTGAAAGGTTACAGTACTGCCAAGGTCAAGGTTTTACTTAAATGACTACTAAAAAAAACCGCATGGAAACTTTCAAGTTACGCAAAACGGTAGTAATTAAAGACATGAAATTATTTTATTTATATTTTTGTAAAAATAAATATAAAATGCACTTTAAATCAAGGTTTTTAAGATAATTTCTTTATTCAGCATCTACTGAATCAAATCAAAGAAACGACAAATTACTTAAAAATACGGATAATGAAAATGTCCACGTTTACACAATCTTTTATAATTTGCATTTTGTAGACAAGGGCAAGTTCAGAATATATGTGTGCGAGTGATATTGAAACACAATTAGAATTATGCAATTTTATTACATTCATTTAAATATTTTTACATAATTGATTCATTTGATTTGTAGATTAACGACGTACTTATTATAGAAATTTTAATTTCATGTGTTTATATAATCATGTTTTTGTTCTAGAATACGAAGTTTAGGTTGCGCCGCATTGGGTTTATGCTATGTCGCCTTAGGAACAACAGATATATATCAGTGCGATGGTTTACAACCATGGGATGCTGCTGCTGGTGTTTTGATTGTTAGAGAAGCAGGAGGATATGTCTGTGATTCTAGCAGTAAGATATATACGTTTGACGCAACTTATAAAATAATAATTATAATTTTTAGAAACATTTTTGGGCCAAGAATTTGACTTGATGAATCCAAATTTTCTTGCAGCTTCTACGAAAAAATTGGCAATGCAAGTTATCGATATAGAAAGATTAGCTGATAATAAATAATTGTTTGTATTATATAAAATATTATTACAATTATTTGTAGTATGGACAAATGTCTATTATTTGGGTTATCAAAAGTATTGTAGGAAAGTAGTGAATAATATGATCATTTTTAATAATTTAGTTTTTTTTATGACAATAAAATAATGTATATTTTTATTACTCTTAAGGTATTGTAATATATAATTTAATATATACTATAGTCGTCTTATATTGAACATTATTTTGTAATAAATAGCACCAAAATAATAAATTTTAGTATTTACGTTTCGCTTTTTATATTACTTTCGAATTTTAGCGAATATTGAGAATACTTCGTATGAAGAAAAGTTTAGATATGGTTTGCAAATGTGAGTAGTTAGAACGACCAGAAATATAATTTCTGTTATAATATCGCAAGAAATATGTAATAGTAAAAGAAATCGAATTTTATAGCAGTATGCTTAGAGTTATATATATTTATTTAGAAACCATAGAAACATTTCTAGAAGTTTGATCCATATTACATTGTATGTATTGTAGTGGCATATTAGAAAATATGAAAGCAAGCAGAATGTCAGAGCTGGACGAAGAATTTAATAATTTCATGTATAAAGTAACGGAAGTAAATGAAATTGTTAAGAAACTTAATTCCAAGGACGAAACAGTGGCACAAATTGGCACCATCGAAGCGGAGAAATATTTGAATGGTAATGCCGAAGCAGCACTAGAGAAAATTGACGATGATGATATAGTGCTGAGAGTTACATCAAAAAAAGCAATGATAAATCCAAAAGCTTTGTTACCGGAAAAAGATGAGAATACAATGTCACAAGGTTAGTTCGTTTTTATCTATTTTTAATGAATTAAAGGAACATTGTAAATAAACAAATAATATCATTAGCATTAAGATATTTATGGTATAAAACTTTTTTTTTGGAAAAAAAAAATGCAAATAAAATATATTGTTCTCTTCAATATGTAACGATATTATTCATGTGCCAAGAAAGATGACGACAATGGAATGAAAATTTAAATGATGATAAAAACTTATTGGATTAATTATTATATCAATATTTAGTTGCAACAAATATTTCATGTTTTTATTCTTTTACGTTACAGAATCATTTATGACAGAGGTCTCGAAAGATGCTGATATGAGGTATAAAAACCGTTTATTGCGGAAAGAACGGATGGAAACTTTCAAAAAACAAGCAACTCTAGCATTTCGTAGAGGAGATTACGAAAGAGCATTATGCTGTTACAACAAAGTAATAATTTTCGATGTATAAAGCATAATAGTTATGCATTTTATTTTAGGCGATTGAGCAAATTAAAGATAGTCCACTGTTATACAACAACCGTTGTTTGACATTCTTGAAATTGAAACTTTACGATAAGGCGATAAGTGACGCTGAAACTGCATTACGTTTAAACGAGAATTGCCTGAAATCTTATTTATTCATTGCAAAAGCGAACTATTTAAGTGACAACTTGAAAGAATTTAGTAACGCAATCGAGAAAGCAAAATGCATTCATCCAAATATGGTAAAGTTTATCGAAGGTAAAATAAATGCACATTATGTAGCTACTAAACTTATACTATATTTATTTTAGAATTTGTCGTAGATTTGAAACGCGAACATAATGACATTTCGATGGTTTAAAATAAACAGCAAAAAATATACTTTTATTAACCGTCAACAAGTTTTTTTTGTACATACTGCTTTATATCACAGAATTATGAAACATTATGAAATTTGAAGTTACAATATATTCTGCACAGTTTATTAAGTATATTATGATATATAGTATTTAATTGTACCAAATTGCAGATAAAATATACAGTAATATTTGATTTATAATATAGTAAAACCCGTTTTATTCCGAACTTTGAATTAAATAATGCTCACAGGTTGAAATAATACTTTATGAAATAATAAAAGAAATAATTTACATATTTTTGTTTTGATTTCAGTCAATTAATATATACACATTTTTATATTTGTTTTACATAATCGTTAATATACATATTTTAAATTTAATATATAATTGGAATCTACAGTTATTTGAAGCTATTAAATATAGTGTGACATTTCAAATTACTTTACTGTTGCTAGTTTGACTTTAGAAGGAGGAATAGGAGAACTGGTTGCACTTCTGGATACTCTCGGCTGTTCAGGAACTGTCAATTTTGTATCTCCATTGTTCCAAGTTGGAATTTCATTCGATGTGCATTGATCGTTACTGTTATTTTTGTTTAATGCATGAAGAGGTATTTTATAGATCCTTAATGGCCTAGCTTCCGGCGAATCTAGTAATATAAATGTTTTAAAAAAATATTTTGTATAAAATTATTTAAATTATTTACTATTTGGGCTAGGAGGACTGTGCTTCTGTTCAAGAAGCTTGCAATCAACATCAAGACGATCGCTTCGACCAGGAAAAAATTCTGGGGCTGTTGTCGAAAAGAATATGTCATTTTTTGATGCAATTAATTGTAGATTCGGCATTGTCATTGAATGTACCAGATTCCCATTTACTATCAGCCGAATTTCCATTACGTTTGATGTGAATCCTATGACGTACGGGAATACACACACTACGAAAATAAATTATATAAAAATTATGCGTTTTTTTTTATATTATAAATATTAACCTATATCACTTGGAACAAAATTCCAATGGAAATCGTATTCGGTACTCTTTGTATTTTCTTCGTTAATCTTCTGAAAGTGGCAAGTATCTAAAATATTATAAAATAATTAGATAATCAAGAATTTTCTATTTGGTGTAAATTTTACGATTGTAACATAGTAAAAGTTGCACTTCCTGATCTTCATACAAATCCAAGGCAGTTATTAAATTAACTCTATCTCCCCGCACTGTATGTAAATGATGTGCGTATCCTGATCGTCCATTTACTATGTCCCAATGGTTTTTGTAACCCACGCAAACTAAAATATCGCTATGTGATGGTGAATTTGGTGTCCAACCGTTGTCCAATATAGTCATTAAGTTAGGGATTTCATTCAAATTAATCTCCTACAATCAAAAGTGGATTAAGTTTTAGCCATTTTATTAAATGGTTTTTATCTACCCATAATAAATTGAATCCTTCTATGGTATCTGTATCACTGCTTGGACACCAGGCCGTCCAAGCTGCAGAATGTTTCCACTGGAATAAAATAAGCTTCTTTCCAATTGCTACAGCCATTCTTAAACGCGATCCTCCTAAAAAATAATATATGATATATCTTGGTTCTTGTTCAAAATAGAATTTCGTTTTCCAGACGAACAAATTGGTAATTGAAACAAAATAGTAATACTATTGTAATAATACATAATACAAATATTGAATGTAAAACAAAGTTATCAATTGTCTTGACTGAGAGGACAGATATAATGTAATTCGTAATATTAGTGATTGTGTGATTATTATTGTCTTGCAATTTATATTTGCATCATGATTGTAACCTAATGAGTGTGCGTGCAAATGATAATTATACTCAAGGTTGATTTGGAAGAAATACTGTAGAAGTTTGTTGTTCCCGGAAGTCGTAGGCGGCAAATGCCCAGGGCGGCCCTGCTTTTAGTGCATTAACGCAGTGTTTTTCAACCCACCGTAAAATATCAAACTTTTTTACGCGATTCTGTAATTGTATTTTTTCAAGCAGAACTACTATGTGCGTTAAATTCTGGTTTCACAATGCACACTATTAATTATTTATACATCTTAATATAACAGAAACGAAAACAAAAAATATGTTAAATAAAATTATTAAAGAAAAATAAGTATTTTAATTTTTACCTGGACGAGATAAAGAATATAGATGTGCACCTCTTGTTCTTTCAAGACGATGGTCCTTAACATCTATTCTTGACATCGGTTCAAATATAATTTCCAATTGGGACAATCGAAATACGTACACTTTACTTTCCTTGTTAGATTGTCCTGCTCTTAAGAGAAGTATTCCATGCGGTTCTACAACATTAACTTGACGCACCTGAAGAGTTTTATCGAATAATAATCGATGTGAATTTCCGTCTAAAACAAGCAGTACACTAAACAACGTTACTTTGGAATATATAACTGATCTACCTTCGACTAGATATACTCCTTCGTCAGTTGCAGTGACTAAACGGTTGTCACTCCAGGAGTCGGAAGCGAATATAGTAGTTGCAGGAAATACAGGATAGAAACAATTTGCTTCCCAAGGGGATCTTTTAAAAACAGTACCAGCACTTCCAGCGGAAGCAAGACTAGTTGGCGCATCGCCTCTGACTATTGCTTCCAATTTCAATGCTTGCCCAATACGTACGAATTCTATTTGCCGAGAATCTTCTTTCATGCGAGAATGTCTAGGCGTCTCTGCAAGAACGTCGGAGAAGGCTCGCCTGTTTAACATCGTCTAAAAAGATAAATTTGATTTGACTACTATACTACTTACAACTATTATTATTATTATTAATTATCTTTGCGAGAACATATAATAAACATATTTAAACATCCGCTTTTATAATTATTTATAATTACTTTTGATTTTTAGATTAAAATAAATAGTGAATCTCCTAAATTGAATTAGCTTTTTAAACGAATGTTTTTGTATGAACCCGAGGATTGTATCCTGTTGTAACTCATGGTACAAATAAACAAAGTATGCCTTAGGCGTTTAGTGAATGTCCTTCACTAATATCTAGTGGTGATGAAAAGAAATCATAGCACATTGCGCGCGCATATATTGGATTTTTTAAATTTATTGCACCAAGGTTTGAACCAGCCACTTTACATCAGCCATTACAATTAATTTATTATTATTGGATTAAATTCGTATTTTAGTACAAAATAGTTTTTTTAAATTGTCTAAAGTAATTATCAATTTTAAATATTAATTATTTATAAGTGAATTTATTGTTCTCCTTTAATGTAAAACGTTTTTGTCAAGATTAGTGATTAAATTTGGCATAATCAATTGGTTTCGCTATATAAAGACGAGAGCCCAATCGATTTTTATTTCTTTAGCAATAGTTCATGGAAAAAAAATACTGAAGCACTGTGAATTATTTTTTGCTAAGAATTTTCTTAGTCTGGGAAGATTTTAATTTCGCTGCATCTTGCTTGAGTTTCTTCTCCAATTCCCTACTTTGCTTCGCTTGTTCTCGTTGCTTCTTAATTACTGCAAGTCTAGCTAGGTCAGCTTTGGCCTGTTCGGTTTTTCCTTCAAGATGAAGTTTCTGGTAATTTGCTTTCAACTTCTGTTTTTGCGCTTCGTCTCTCTCGCGGCTTGATATTTCAGTTGAGACATTTAATTCATTGGTATTATCTGTTATTTTTATAGTTTTTCTTTGTTGTCTATTTGGGTTTTCAATTTCGATCAAATTAGAAACACCTTTTGCTTTTGCTGTTTCCTCGTCGCTTGTGGTATCGTTATTGTCACTGCTTGTTGTTTCATCTCGACCTTCATCATGACATTGTGTATTGTGCCTTTCCTTCTCAAGTTCTTCGGGGTTTGTAAACTTTCGAACTCTCCCTTTATGGTTTATATATTTACCCTTCGGCATTTTGTACTTGAAATATTTTATTGGTTTTTAATTATGACGTTTATATGACACGTAAAACATAATTCCTTTCAACAATGCATATAAACACATTTTATAAATAAATATTATTGGGCGGAAAGTCTGTGGTCAATAGCAATAGTTGATATTTTCTTCTTTTATTATTATTATTAATATTATATGAATACAATTTATTTTTTTGTTTACTTTTGATGACTGTTATATTAAATATTATTCTTATTATTAAAAGTATTACCATTCGGGAATCCGTCATGTGCTCAGTATAAAGATCTTTGATAAGCAAATCAAGAGTACGTTTTCGCTTTTTAGCGAATGTTGGTGTTTCGAATGTAGCTTTCTCTCCGTTTATCAACTTTATCAGTAGAAAGTCTCGAAATACTTCGGCATGCTCAAAAACTGGAGGACAGGGTAAACTGGGGCCAAATAAAGGTACCGCTTCATCCGAGAACACAGAGAGCCTGTATCGATTGTTCTTATCTAAATTAATCACTGCAAATATATCTGATTGGAAGTGTTAAGGTTTACATTCATAATGAATAAACATTTGTGTTGCGTTCTTGAAAAGGATACGTGTAAACTGAGATTTGATGCAAGTCGGATTGAATACGTTGAGGCCCTTGCCATCCACGTCATCAACGAACACGATGTTAACAATGTCGTTACCTATATGCCTTTTTCTTTCAACTTGTTGTTTGTTATCGCGAGAGTATGGGAGAAGAGTTGAAACGTGGAACATAATCTCATGACCCTCATATATTGTATACACGGAATGCCTTCCTGTCATGTCGCCTAAAACAATGTAAAGTATTTTTTGTTAAAGTAATGTATTTTTTTAAATTTTTATTATTTTTTTTTGCAAACTTAACGTACATAATTGAAATATAATGAAGTTATGTGTGTGTATTTTTTGTATACCTTTGACATCCAGTCCTCCGCGATACTTGTCCCAACCGCGTAACTGAATTTTTTCTCCCAGTAAGGAAAGAAACTTATTAAATTGTAAGCTGCCAAACTCTACGAAAAATGATGGATATATTCAAATTATCCATATGTTTTTACAACACATGTTTTCAATATAAAATAAATATGTTAGTCTTACCATTGCTTAAAATTTCATCGTCTGTTATTTGACCCTGACGCATGTAGATAACGCCAAATTTGAAATTTACTGAGCCCTCTTGCTCCTCTAAGAGAAGTAAATCCTTTTGTATGTCTGGAGTGAATATCTCTTTTGGTCCTTTTTCTACTTTTTCGAAATACGGAAAATTCGATAAAATATGTTTCACTGTCAGTAATTTGTTGTGTGCGTATGGTAGAGAAATTTTCTGTGCGCCCTGTGGACAATTAACATATATTTTCAGTTTGAATCTTATAGAACCAAATAATAATTAATAATATTAACATTAATAAATAATTATATAGCATTCAAAAATATATTGTAGTCACTTGCCGTTTTCCTGAATAGAATTGCTCGATATAAAGGGACACATTGATTTGTGTCTTCGTTAAGAACAATACTAAGGAAGAACGGAGTTTTGTCACTATCAAAACCTACGTAATTTTGATGAACTGCAAGAAGAAATTAAGGTAATTGCATTATACGTTAAACTGTTAATGGTATTCATCGTGAAATGATTTGTTTAAACTTACGTTTACCGAGGAAATATTTGAAGTACCATCGCGTCTGATATTCCGGATTTTCCAGTACCGGCGTACTTGGCGAACCAAACATCTGAGTAAGCATCATATTAACATCATTTTCATTTATAACATCCGCAAGCAATATTACCTCGTCTTTTTCGCCTGGAGATTCTCCATTTTCCAAACGAAATCGCCTACACAATTCCTGGCCATCACCTTCAGCCTGTTGCAACTAAAATACATTCATAAAAAATTAAGTAAACAATTTATTCTGCCGAATCATCTTATAATAAACAATTAGATGATCTAAATTTCACACAACTTACAAATAATGTGAATGAATGGTTATCAAATGCCAGTATCTAAATGCATGATTTTGTTTTGGAAAATATCTCATTTAAGTATTTACTATTTATATAGTCACAATTATAACCTTATTATAATGTAATATTCATAACACCTCACTCAATAAGTTCGTACGATGACATATAGATATTTAGGAAGTACCATCGTTCTGACGACACCAATTGTTGCAGAAAACAAAAAAAAGGCCACAAAATGGTTTTTGTCGATCGTAAATTGAAGTTGCGTTAGATAGCTGACTGAATATTTCAGAAGGCAGTGTAATCATCATTTTGCATGAACATTTGATCATGACAAAGCTTTGTTCTAAATGGGTATCTCGTTTGCTGAAAGTGGACCAAAAACAACAACGAGTTGATAATTCCGAGCGCTGTTAGGAACTGTTTAAGCATTTTTTCATGCTGTGGATGCAATGGATGAAACCTGGATCAACCACTATACTCCAGAATCAAATCGATCGTCAGCTGAGTGAACAGCAAAGTAAGGTAAGCTTTTGGCCTAAATATTTTGGGATGCGCACGGAATTTTATTCATTGGTTACCTTGAGAATGGAAAAAGCATCAATACCGAATATTATATGACATTATTGCTGCGTTTGAAATTGCGAAAAAAACTACCACAAATGAAGAAGGAAAAAGTGCTCTTTCACCAATACAATGCACCGTGTGACAAGTCGATTAAAACGATGACAAAAATGCACGAATTGCACTTTGAATTGCTTCCCCATCGATATCTAGCTCACAGCGACTACTACCTGTTTCAATGAAGAAGTGATTGCCGAAATTGAAGCATATTTTGAGGCTAAAGGTAAATCGTTCTACAAAAAAGGTATCGAAATATTAGAGAAGCGTTGGAATGAATGTATCACTCTTGAAGGAGACTATGTTCATGAATAAAGTCGAATATTTTATAAAAGTTATTGTTTTATTAGTCATTCTACGAAATTAATGAGTGAGATGTTATATATAACTGGTATATTTCTTTCCATATAGCATTTACTATAGTATTAAAGACATATTTCATTGACTCATTCACAAGAAAAAAGTTTACTAGAAAATCTGAATAAGTGAAGAGAGATTCTAGTATTCAAACAAGAAGTGATAACATAAATATATGTATCAGAATTATATAAAATGATATAATTTTAACTAGTGCTTACAATACATGGATTCTGGGATCCCAGACGAATTTTGTCCTTTATTCATGTAAAAAATGTGGGTATTTCGATTTTACCATATTCCTATAAAAATTACGGCAATATAGGGGTTAATAAAAGGTTAATGTTTGTAACCCGGTAAAAAATGTTCGGTATTGTAAGCACTACATTTAACTGCCAGTTATAATCAAAGTATCAAACATCAAAACAATTTAAAAATAATAAATGAATAAAAATATATTGTGCATTTGACACTAATCAATTATATATCATAATTAAGAATAAATAAAGTTAACTGCATATATAAACTCTTTGGTTCTTGCTGTTTGTGTGATGAAATACAAATATGGAGATTTGCATGCCAAACTTATATAAATTTTTATTTTAACTTATATGATTTATCTAACTTTGAAATTAAATCTTCATTTAGAACAACTTATATTTATATTTAATTTATATATGTATGATCATTAGTTTGAGTTCTAAAATAAATAGACTTTGATTTAACTTTTGTCTGCAATTGTAATGACGAAGGTGAACTCGTAGATTCTGCCGTACGGCAGAGGGTTTGGAACATCAATAATGTAAGAGTCGTAATGGGGTTCGAAGTGATGATACAACACGTCCCACTCACCTGTTCTACGGATCCGTAATATCTGCGAGAGAATACGCCTCGTCGCGATATTAAATCACTTGCAGTTGAACTGGAAAATAAAAATAATAATGCCTTACTGTACGTATTATTTGAACTGTTTTATATTAAGATTTGGACACGTACTATTTACTATCCATTTATCTTTTTGTCATTCAAATTCTTCCTAATGCCTTTAAAAGATGATTTCTCTTTCAATTTTTGGCAATGTTATGTTCATTTTTATTTTACTTTACTTTGACGTTATATTTAAGAAAAACTAAACTTGAAAGTTGATCAATTATAACTTTTACAATTAAATATTTCTGAAGATTATTTTCAATTATAAGTTCATCTATTTCTATAAATATATGTTAAGAGTTCTAGTCACTTTTTTCTTCAAGCGATATGTTAATTCATCGAGTTTTTGAAAAAAAAAAAAAGTGAATAGTATTGTTTATAATAGTGTATTTATCTATATTTTCTTCTTTTCGTGATTTGTGATTATTGACTTGATTTATTATTATTATTAAATTACCGTGTATGGTTGTTTCATAACAATGACAAAAACATGTTTTTCTTGATTTTCAGAGATTATAAATAAAGTTTGAAACAATAAATTAACCGTCTGTGATGCCACCACACGCATTATATGAGATAGTTCTTTACAACTGGGTTTCTTTCCAAACTTTTTATGTAACGGAGTATTAAATCTTCAAATTTTCACGGAACACTTTGTTAATTTTATAGTGTAGGTAAGAACATATAATCAATAAAATTAAAAAAAAAATGAAAAATCGTTATTTATTTAGTAACTTTAAGCCTAGTTTTCACGGAACACCAATGTTCCATGGAACATAGTTTGGGAAACTCTGTTTTACAGTAAACGAAATGAAAACAATATGACCTACATTGAAGACTAAGTATTTACGTTGTATATCTGCATCATGACTGCATTAAAATCATATTTATTAATGTAGTAAATAATGTTTATTTATCAAGAGTTTGAAAAGTGAGACTCGGAAAATGTTGTAATATAAACTTCTTTGTAAAACATATTTAATAATTTTTTGTGAAAATGAAAGCTCGATAATGTTTAAATTTAATATTTGTCTTGAACATGAAAATAAAAGGTTTTGACATTTTCTCAGTTAATAGAAATACACACATTTCTGTCTTGATCGAGTTGATTAATTCTTGTAGCTTTAGAAAATTTGAAGCTGTTCCATCATTTATTTTGAAAGGTCGAATTTGTTAAATCGTGATTCTTAAAAGATATCCTGATACGGTCAGCATCGATCTATGCGGTATTCCGTTTTATAGTTTAGACAGAGGGGGGCTAAAACTGCGGACTCAAATTTCAATAAATGTGCAAAGGGTTTCTTCAAAATAGCAAATATTAATATCTGAGTAATATTTAATAAGGAGATAAAAAAATACCGAAGTATTGTATTTTTTTGATAATATCTGTGATATATGTAGAACGTACCAATGTAGGTTCCATTTCTTGTAAGCGCTTAGGACAATACGAAATTCGGTTCGGGCAGAAAGACCTATAGTCAATAACCCTTTGAAGCAGTTGACTTTTACAAAAATTATCAGAAATTTCTTAAAATAATTTCATGATATTCGACAATAATTTCGTTTTCAGAATATGAAAATAATATTATTAATACGTTAATATTTGCTACATCTCCCCATGTTACGTTCACCACTTGTTAAATACCTTGGAATCCTTCTTTATTCTAAACTCAATCTCAATGCCCATTCCAAACAACTCAAATCCAAAATTAAATCCAGATCCCGTCATTTCCGTTCCTTAACTTCCGTAACTCCGAAATATCCATAAAGTGCCAAACATCAATATACAGATCAATATGCCGTACTATCCTTGACTACGGTTTCCCACTACTTTCACATTGCCGGAATCATGTCCTAAAAAACCTGTCCGTATCCGAACGTTCCGCCCTTCGTATCCTCACCAAAATACGACATCCTAATAATCCTCTACACAATCCACCTAATGATCTCCTTTACTCCAAAACCAAAATAGTCCCTCTTCTCGACCGATATCTGTCCCTCTCCTTGAAATTTAAATCCAAACAGTCTAAATTCTGTGTCCCTCGAAACCCAAATATCCTTCCCAAATTTAAATATCCCACATTACAATAGTCACTTGATTGATACACATTTGTTCCTACTCCGCTGCTTTTTTTCTCCTTCATTCTTCTGTTGTTCATTTGTATATTATTATTATTATTATTACAATATTGTATTATTCCATTATTAAATTTATGTTCCCGGCGGAAAGTGCTTGGTCGTTAGCCCTTTGGCCAGCTTGTTAATATATTTTTTTTTTAATAATAATAATTTATTGGCCAAACATCAATACATAGAAAAAAGTACATTCTATTCATAAATAAATTCGGAACGGAACGTTCGGATACGGACAGGTTTTTTTAGGACAGGATTCCGACATTGGGAATATATTTTTTTATTTTATGTTAGAATTTATTTACGTATAGAATGTACTTTTTTCTTATGTATTGATGTTTGACCAATAAATTATTATTATTATTTATTATTGCTGCTGATTTTACTAGTAAATTTATGATTGACGAATTGTCTGTGCAAAATACTACAATAACTACTAATATAAAAATCACAATTAATTTTATGTATTCAAGAGAAGTGAACTTATCCAATTCTTTTAGTATTTAAGAATATGTATCAAAAGATGAAAGATTGCATTTGTAAATCAGAAAAATAAAGGAAAATAAATGAAAATTTTAGCGTAAAAATAATAAAAACACTGCAAATATATCAAAAATAATTGCTGTAAAAGATGAAAATAGAATAGAAATATTTAAAACTGACTTGTAACCACTTTCTTCTAGTGAAATGCACGAATGTTCAGTCAGAAAGAGATTTTTATTCTGTAGCAATATGTATGAAATTTGGACATTAGTTTAATAATAAGTATTACAACCTATTTTTTCTATATAAAAAATATACCGGTAATTTACCAGTTAGCGATAATTACTTAAAATATTTAACAATTACCAAGAAAATCTCTTGACCGATATTATAATTTAACAAAATAAATGGTGAAATTAAGAAGTAAAATTCATGCAAAATTTGAAAGGACATTGCTGTAATAATGCAATAACCTTATTTTTAGGAGGAATATGGTTTAAACATTTACAAATCTCAGTGAGTGAACTTTGGATTTTGAGTTACCTTTGAAGTTAAATTTCATACTAATACAGTTTTTAGTATGAACTTTTCAGAATTTCTTTACAAATACAATTTATTTTCACATAATAAAATTATATTAATATTTATAAATTACCAATGATATACAATTTCGAAATTTTATCTATTAACATTATTTTGATAATATAACTAATATATGATAATATACTGATATGATTTTAAATATCTTACATAGCACTGCTGGCTCTTCGATGAAATAGTTTAAGGGCACTGACATCACGAGGTGGCTTACTCCTAAAGCTGGTAACACAAACGCTCTTTGAACGATCTCTGGAGGATGCGTTATCGGTTCTTTCTCCTCGCAAACGTTGAACTAGTCTCATATCCAGACACAACATATTTTCAGCATGAATGCTAGACACACGAACACAGCCACAAAGCAGTTTGCTATTATTTCAAAATTACCAATTAGTAATTATTCACAAAAATTTACGAAATATCTCTTATATTGAGAATTTTCTTATTCCAATAATTACTGAACATCCTAGGAAACAAATAGAAATATTTATTGAACAGTTAAATTTGCACATATATATTATGTGAGATAACAACAAACAAAAATTTCATTTTGCCACATCAATTCAAAAGTAGGAAGATTGACTATGATTTTCTAAGTTTTTGTATGCACATAATTAATAACAAAGTATAAACATAATTAGGATACTCAGAACAAATCATTTTAATAAATGGTTCATACTACTATTTTTAACTATTAATAGTATATTTACTAAATTAAATATATTTATTTTTTCTTATTATTAAGAAACTTATTTTTTTTATAGGTATTAATTGACTATTTATAAAACTGTATCATTATCATTAATTTAATGTGCATGATCATGTATCAACTAGAAATTTGTTTTCGTCATAAACTTTTATATTTCTCATTAAAACGAGTCTAGTTACAAAATGCTGTTCAGATCTGTAATTTTAACAATTCCTCGAGAAATCTTTGATGTATGTAAAACGACTCATATTTGAAACAACCATTAGTGAGAATAATGAGAATTTTAATCAATGTTCTTAATATTGTTAAATTTCATTGCAGATACACACTCGGTATTCATCAATTATATGTAATTGATATGTAAACCTTTCATCTATTAAGAAATGTGTATATCCATTCTATATCAAATTTAATTTAATTTCAATTACAATTGAAGTGACTATTTCTTGCCTAAACTGAAAACATAATTTCTATGATTTTCTAATTTTGACTCGTAATTTAACAAATGGATTAACATTTTGACTATTTTAAACAACCTTTAATTACTTTTGTTACGAAGACATTATTTTTAAAGAGCATTAAATCATATTCATTGAAAAACTTATGAATATATGAAGAATATATAATTAATTATATACACGCAAGCCTTATACAATATGGGCCAAACGCGTGAAGTATTGAAGAGATCAATAGAGGCGTAGCCATACTCCGTTTGTATATGATCTGCTGGTAAGTTAACTCAGTTGGCGTTTTAAGTATCACATTAAAACTAGATGAGACAGAATTTAACGAATGAAAATAATATGTATGTGGACATTAAACTGAAATTGGAAAGTTTTTTTTTAATAGGTAATAAAAATCTATGATAGATTGATTGTTCTGAAGAAATCATATATTTTTCCAGACTCTTTATAAACATAGTATATTGTTATAAAAAAATAGAAAAATAATAATTTATAAACAGTTTCTGGCTAAATTATGTATAAAATGTATACAATTTTAAATTTACCATAAAAAATATAAAATAATATTCATATATAAATAAGTAAGCACAAGATAAGAAAATCATTCTTGTATATGACATGTATTGAATATAAACTAGGTTATCACTACGAAAGAACGCGGTCAAATAATGTTATAATCGATTTGAAAATGTAATGAAAAATATCTAAACTATTGAATACGACAATTTGGTAAAATATGTGTAGAGATTACGAGGATTGTGTATAATACTCTCACGTCCATGGGTATTAATACAATGTTTCAGTTTTCCGATGCCACAGGCGAACAAATCCATTTATTTTTTCCGCATGATAAACGCGTCCCGTTATTTCCTGAACAATAAATAATTTTAATGATACCATATTCCATGCATCTGTTCAACGTGATTTTAGTAAATACATATAGTTATACCTAGTTAATCTCAAAGATTTAAAAAAAATCATTTAATACATAATAATACATAAATTACAAATTTTCATTTTCTTTGATTTGAGCAATGAACTTCTTTTTAATCCTCCAATTGTAAAATCATCATCTTTCTAATAAATTTCCCATGGTCATTTTCAAAACTTATTTCTTGTATCATTTGGATAACTTCATTTCTAATCTCTTTAATATTTTTTTTCATCTATTAAACTTCTGGTTACAATTGCGACATATTCCATGTAAGCATTTCGAAAGCTATTCATGATTTCAATTTGTAATGTTTCAAAGACTTTGAGCAAAAATATAAGATCTATGTATAAAGTTTTTTTTAAATATTTTGTTACCTGAAACGCATACTCTGTTAAGTTTTATTAAATTATTAATACCATTTAATATTTCGTACCTAAAAATTTAAGTACGAGTATTGCCAATATCGATTTAATTTTGTAGGTTTGTATTCACGCGGATAAAGGTCATGATTGTGAAAGATCTGGCAAGCAATTTAAACGGTCCTGTATTGCCAGCCAAACGTTTATTTGCACCTTATATAATTTGAAACCTTTTTCAGTTCAATATATCCACTTATTTATAGTATCTTCCGAAAGCAATATCTCATTATTTCTTTTTACTTTGTTGATATAAATTCTATTCTGAAGAAAATTGTTAGAATTAAAAGAAAAGTTTCATGGAAAATATATAATAAATTCTAAAATAATAATAATTAACGACACGATACACAACGACCTCCACATGAACACTGTTAAAAGTGAAATCTCCAAGTTTAGTGCCCGTTACCAGAACAGACTGGAAAACCACCCCAACAGTCTCGCGTTATCCCTCCTAGACAATAGTGACACCCCCCACAAGACTAAAGAGACACAACACTCTCGACCTCCCCTTTAGAAAATAAAAGTTAGTTTTATTGTTTAAATTTTCATAGTGCCGTCAAAATCAATTTTTATTTGGGTTTTTATTGTCATCGATTATTCTTTTTTAGTTAAATTTATGTTTGTTTATAGGAAGATTTCCGATGGGAAATCGTTCCGCTCCATGTTTTTCATTTTGTTTTTGTTTCTAACATAAGCATTCAACTTATAGCCCGAGATGGCAGGTTGTGAATGAACAATAAACGCTAAAAAAAAAAAAAAAAAAAAAAAAAAAAAAAAAAAATAATAATAATGAATACAATTTACTTCAAACTATATAATTTAAAATCATATTTTTTAAACTTTTGTTTTCTGAAATTTCACCAATATTTTTATTGTTTTTAAACCTGATAAATAAATATAAAATAATTTAATTCTAGTTAAAAAATATTTTTTTTTCTTTGTTATAAGCATACATTTGTATAAGATTCTAAATTGAATTTTTTAGATAAATTTACAAATTTGATGGTATTCCTCCAATGAGATCATTACTTATTTAATTGGTTGTTACCAACAATATTATAAAACAAATAGAAAAAACTATTACAAAATATAGTAACTTTAAATTAACTTCAATATTCACAAATCATTTCAATTTTCATCAGTTATTTTAGACTGTTGTATTCAGTGTTTTATTTTTAGAAAGAAAGGTTACATATTTTGGTAAGTTGAAATGAATGCCCCTGTAAGCCTTAACTCCTTCGGCATGAAATTATGTAAGGGAAATATGTGTAAAATAATATTGTTTCACGTCTTATTGAATTATTATCAATGAAAAGTATCTGATCTAAAAGAACATGTTTAATCTAATAAAATATAAATTAAAAAATATATTTATTTATTTGTCTATCGTGAAATAAAAACTTTCATCACTAAAATGTAGCATTCTACATGATCTTATATAACAGATTCGAAATTTTATAAAATTACTCAAAAATATACTCATTATTTACTAATGAGAATGCCGAATTATATATTTTTCCGATGACATATATAAAGTTCAATGTATCGTATAATCAATATAACCACGGATAATACATAATAGCTTATACAAAAAAGTATCCTCTATTGGTCAACAACATTACCCAGCGGTATTTCAACTTATCATTAAATAATAATATATAAGTCAATTTGAATTAAATGTATCAATTATTAAAATAGAATATAGGAAGCATATTGAATATGTAGACTATATTATTGTCGATTTATTTAGTCCATTATCATTGTCCATTATCATTGTACTATATTTTTCAAGTTTTGGTTTTTAATTAAAACGATAATCTGTGAAGATATATTAATAAACAATGAATACAAAGATTATATTTTTTATATACTGTTATTATCCATATTGGGAAAATAGTTAAAAAAAAGTATCCTGATGGTCCAAATTCGGCAACTTTATTGCCTTTATGGAAATAAATATTATACTATTTGCATTGTTAGGTAGCAGTAGTTGTGTTTTCATCAAGTATCATTTAAATTATTAATAAAGAATGCATATGGAATTTTACTTTATTTGGAACAGGTTAATCGATTGCTGATCACTGTTTTAATATATTTTTAAATATCATATAATATATAATGATGAAACCATGCGTACATTTAAATAGCACTATGACTAATTGCTGATCGTTGCGAAGCTTTAAACAATATTTTTAATAAAGCGCGATAACATTGTGTGTTGTGCAATGTGGCTAATTAAATGCAAACCGAACGACCGTAACGAAGGCAGCGAAACGCGTAAACTCGTTTATGCAAATTTCACTATGAAACGTTTACCCTCTTAATGCCAATCGATACTACCTTAGCGGTTGAATTTACCATATGACTTAATGTATTACTGGAAATAAAGAATTGAATAGAAGCTAATTATATTAGGATGCTATGCACTAAAGTACTTCTTCCATTTTTTGTAGCAAAAAATATATATCTTATCACTCGTATTGTTTACTAAATATGCGCTAGTAAGGACATTGCTGGCGAGTGAAATTAGGAGGGAAAACTACTATAGATTTTACTAGTTCTATTATGTTTTATATTAATACTCAATAAAGATCTCAAATCTCTACTTAGGTGTATATTAAAGTTTGAATTTGAAACTATAATCGCTTTCCGTTTTGTTCCAAAAATTTCCCTACAGTCTCTTCTTTAATCGATAGATGTAGACGGAGACGGTATTATCGTTAATCCGCAACTGTTTCAGATTTAAAACAAAGCACGCGTCACTTAAATATTAATTAGAATTAAGTGGAAGTCGCCGATTAAATCAAAATTTAAATTTTAAAACGTGAATGAATATATACATTATATTTTAACAAGAGTTATCGAAACAAATATATTTTGCTTAGAATGTCTATTATACTAACATTATTACCAATGTTTTCAAAATATTGTATAAAATATAACAGTACTTGTAGTAAAATGATTTAATGAATTACATTTTTTAAATCGTCAATAACTCGAATAGTCCGGGTAATAAACCACAAAGAAGGGACTTGACTGTATAAAGGAAAAAAACGGTGGCAATTGCAAGCCCGACAACTGAAATCCCGATGTTCTGAATCCCGACGTTTGAAATCCTGAGTGTATCGAAATCCCGACGTTCGAAATCCCGACTACCATAATCCCGATAGGGTTTTTAATTATTATAAATTTCTACAATAAATTTTTTATGGTAGTCGGGATTTTGATATAGTCGGGATTATGGTAGTCGGAATTTCGATATAGTCAGGATTTTGATTATCGGGATTTAAAGCGTCGGGATTTCAAACGACGGTTGTTTCGGTTGTCGGGCTTGCGATATAGATCCAGGAAAAAAATGTACAAAATATTATTTTGGGTACTATTTTTTTAAGGAAGTTATTTTTATTTTTGACTACTAATACTGTATATATTAATTCGATAAAAAAGTACATTTTTAGTGTAGTAGTGAAATATGAATAGAAATTGTTGTTTTTATACTTCAAAAATACTTTTTGCAGAAATTTTGTTATGAATAATATATATGCAAAATGTTAGATACATGCAAAATAAATTTATGCAGCTTTGGTAGAATTTATAAAATATAACGAAATAATATTTTTAGTGTAATCGTAAAATATGAATAGAAAGTCCATTGTTGATATTTTCTATAAAACTATTACTTTGTGAAGAAACATTTTACATTTTCTTTTTTTTAAATATCACATATCCAGTGTTATAAAATAAATAAATGTTATCTAAGCGAAAGCTACAGAAAAGTCCACAGATAACGTGGATTATTACCAGCAAACTGGGGGAGATTGTAATGAAACTTTTTAAAATGAAAAACGATACAAAACATTTTTAGTTCATTTTGTTAAAAAGTACCAAGTATTTTGAAATTGTTTATTCATATAAAAAAAAAGAATAATATAATAAATTTAGTTATTGTTACATAAGTAATTTAAATAAAAGACATTTGAGAATTAATTTAAATATTACTTTGCTTATATCAAATATATATGAGAAATTCATCATTCAAATTTAATATTTTGATATACTTTAATAAATATAAAAAAATCAATTGTTATATCCCAATGTGTTGTATAAAATGTTTATATTTTATAAGAAAAATACGAATAATATATATTTTATGAATGTCAAGTTTGTGCAATTAGAAGAAAATTATTCAATGTAGATTATGGTCAATAGTTATTTGTATGTTGTTATACAATTTATTTTGTATATTATTATTCAATTATTCATAAAAATGTGTTATTTTAAAAAGAATTTAAAAATGTGTCGTATGTTAGGAAACTTTTCTGAAATAATTATATATCTTACACTGATATGAATCTTAGTTAAGACTGCGTGTTTTGTAGGGATGTTCCGGATAGCTATGGGGGCGATAACACCGCTAACCCAGAAAAACAAGAAACTTTCGCTGCATCAATAATAGAAAGAGCCGCGTCGCGACGCACTATAACTTCGTAGAGGACGTCAACCTTTAACCCGAAAAGCCCGCGTTAGGACTGAGATGCGACACCGTTTGGCGCGTCCTTTTCAACATGTGCATGCACATGCGGCCGTATTGGATACTTAATACCATCACCAGTTTTGTTGCAAAACGCAAGCGTGCGATTCGAACATGTAAACGTTTTAAGCAAAAACGACTGTCACAACCCTTAACAAAGTAACGTAAGGTGAACACTTTTGAGCGTCGGCGATTGAGGGAGACACCGAGCGTCGCGACGATACAACACGCAGTTTAGTTCTGTATTAACTAGATGGCGTTGCGATGGAATCCATAGGCAGGAAACTTCATTTAAGGACATCACAAAAATTCCGGACTACAAATGTACAAGGTATTTTTTGGACGTTAATTGACACCGTTGAAAGTCGATGAGATTTTTCATCAAAATCAAACGTCTGAATGCCATATCTTGACGAAATTTTCACAGGCCACTATCATATGTTCCAGTTAGTAAACTTATAAATAATTATGTTTTATAAGCTAGTAGTGTATGCCGAGAGTCATGTTGCTTTAATTGGACTAACTGATGAATATTTTATATTCATTTCTCAATATTATTTTGTGAAAAATAGATTATTATTATGAATGTAACTTTTTTTCTTCTTTTTTTAGTACATATTAATGAGTTAAACTATGTGAGGCTAAATCGAATTATTACTCCAATTGTTAATAGAAAAAAAGAAGTAACTAAGTTTTTAAATTAATTAGTATTCAAATTTATCGTGGAACAGTTTTTACCAAAAAATTAAAAAAGTATATATTTTAGCTAAACCTTGTGTTATTTCTGCAGAAAATAACTGTTAAGAAATATATGATCATTTAGGATGTTTGTAAATAAAAGTTATTAACTATAAAACTTGAAGATTATTTTTTTTTTAATACATACAATGTAGTTATAAAAATCTAAAAAAAAATAAGTAATTTAAAATCTTTTGGCAGGTAATTATTATTGATAAGTTTATATTATTATTCGTAAGTTATTCATAACAAAGCTTTAATTATATATTCAATATTCTCGCTATTATATGAATTCAATTCTTCAGTGCAGAATCCCTTATAAATAATATGCGCATACCTGAAAAACGTGTTTACTGACGCATGCAAATAGATTATATCTTTATGAATAGAGTTTATGCAAAAAAAAGGGATATACCGAACGTGTGTTTGCACTTGAATGCAAATGATTAAATTTTCAACGTTTATTGAACAAGTTACGTCTGAGCATGGATCAGTAAATTGTCACGCTTTATTAATCATATATTTCAAAAAGAATATTATTAGACTATGGCTTTAAATATTTTGTATCAAAATATTAAGCACTAATTTTAATTTTCAAGCGATTTGATAATTTTTGTTTATAATTTTATTTAAGAATGATTTCATTACAGATTGTTACCTATATTATCAAAATAAAACTCGCCAAGTAATGCAGAAAATCGCGCAGAGTTGCTGCAGCGCTTGAAAAGACGATTTATAGACAACTTTAATGTTGAAACACGCGTCTTCTTTTCGGTACATTATGTTTATCATCTAATGTTCGATGTGGATGACCGGGAGCGGGAGTCTCCTACGACTGTGAATCAAGGGACGGCCGGGTCCTTCACCATGAAGGGTGGATAGACTGTGTCCGAACGAATTTTATCATTCTTTAGCCGAATGATGATGCTTCAGAATATATTATTTATATCATTTTGAGAAGATTTATTTTTATTTGGTTTAATTTATAATTTCATCTTTTTTATATTTACATAAATGTACGTCTTTTTTTCAGAATGCATATTTTTTGTATGATTTATTGTAACAATTTATGTTTTTTGCGTCTCTGGGCGGAAAGACTTAGGTCGATAGCCCATTGGTTGCATTGTAACTAATAAATATTATTATTAAACAAAAAATAATTAATTTGCCTGAATACTTACTATAAAATAATTAAAAACAGAATGGTCAAACATTATTTACTTTAGTATTCAATAGTTGACGTACATTAATTATAGATTAATTAATATTTCATTGAGCATGGATTGTAATTAAAGATTCAATTAGTTTGAACGATGGCTTTGAAAATCGATTCTGTAACAACGCCATGCGGAACCTGAATAAATTATGCATGTAAAATTGAATAGCATTAGGTGCATTTAGTGTTGAATCTAATGGTAAACATCAATTTAATGTATTTCAATTTACATTTAAAATACAAAATAATGTAAAATATAAATCTTTTACGTTCATTTATATTTCAAAGAGATTATTAATTTTGTATAAATATACATTATGTTAACAATAATTATATTTCATGGCAATGAACAACATATAATAATTGCAATACCTGAAAAGTAGAAAAAAATATTTTGTTAATATCATTGAAATTAGTTTCGCTGCTCGTATACATACTATGTCTGTTATTACAAATAACATATAAAAGAGAGAGTATAAACATAGAAATATTTAGCTAATGAAGAGAATGTTTTCTTCGAAACTTCGTTCTCAGAGGAATAAAATGCCCATATTTTAATAATTGTTTGAATTTAACAATTATTAATTAAAAGTAATACTTCTCGGTTAATTATAATTTGTTATTCTTCATTCTTATGGCTTTATCGGCAAAAAATATTTTTTAACTTTTATTTCCTACATTCTATCCATAGTTATATACATTGATTGATGTATTTGGATAACTTCTAGTTTAATTGGTAATTAAAATGCAACAATTAAAATTATTTACTCAATATTGAGTTTATCATTTTAAATGTGTTTATTTAAAAAATAATCTATAAATGTTTTTAGTATGCCAATGAATTATTTTTTGAATAATCGTTTCGTTATTTTCATTTCCGTAAAATTCCGTAACTGTACTGTTGGAATAATGGGTATATAAAATCAAATAGGTCATACAATGCATAGGAGAAAATAAAATATTATGTTCTTTGTAGGAGCACGAAGCTGGACGATATAAAGTGCACACTTTTGTCTAGAAGCGATTAAAACATTTTTAGAGGGAAACAGCTAATTTAAAACATGTTCCACATAAATTGAACTCTGAAATTGGATTACTTTTTTTTATCGCTATTTAAAGAGATACTCTTAAAAAATATAATATGACATTTTAATATTAATACACATAGAGTAATATTAAACATGTCCGTTGTATAATTACAAAAATGGAAAATTTTGCGGTGATGAATGCAACATACAAATATTGTATATTTCAACAAAGGCACGTTCCCCATTTTTAGTACACTTTCAATAGGAGCACAACACACGCGTTCACTTCGGTGCTTTTGAAATGAACAAGTATAAGCCACTCTACCTCTAGAACTATTACATGAACAATGCTCATGCAGTAAAAAAAATCGTGCATGCCCGTGCAAAAAAGTAAAAGATAAAGTACTGCTTTTTTATATTTCAACATTGACAACTAGTTTCTAACTCGACGTTTATAGGAACGTACATTTTGCCGTCGGATACCGACTTCACAAAACAGTCAAACCTTGGTATTATACAAAAAGATGTATTTTTTTTGTTATGATAATAGCAAACAATTAAAATAGATCAAGTAGATCGCGATGTAGGAAAGTTACCTGTTTCTGATATATAACTTAAGTATTTGGAGATTGATAGCACATACCAAATATAAAGTATAATCTTAAAGTTTAAATTGCTGGAAGTAATAAAGCATTAACCTAATTTTATACACTGGAATTGTATATTCCAGAAAACAACTATTATTTTTTAACCAATAGAATTAACTGAGTTCACCTCACTTAAAAATGCACACATATGTAAAACAAATAAAAACTATTATATGTAAACTATATATCAGTACATTTTAATAATTTTTGTATACAGAATAGTTTTTCAACATTTCTTATTTCACGGTACATTTGAACTATAGTTAAACTTTCGTAGCACACCTAAAATCCTTTCACGGCACATCGGTTAAAAATCACTGGTATAGAATCACTTTACAATTACAGTTTTAAAACGTTTTAAATTTCATATCTTAAAAACTGACGCGTATTGTGGATTCTTGTTGTATATGTTTTATGATTTGTGAATAACTTCGGTTGAAACACCTGTAGGTCTAAGTTATCTATTGCATTAGCTTTTGTATTATTATTGACTTTAGATAGTTAGCAATTAAATATAATCAAAATTATATCATTGAAAAGTACACATATTTAACTACATCTTATTACAATAGATATAATAATATAGATCAAATTTGGATCTTGCTGAAATATTTTATATATTGAATTGTTAACTATAACATTTATAATAAAAAGTAAAATTTTGTACAAAAATAGTAAAAAATAGTCAGATGTAAAATCCTAAAATAATAATCAGTAAAAACTGCCTTATGAAAAAAATTTTTTTTTCATCCATATTGAAGTAATGCGATAATTTGCATTTCCTTCACATTCAAATAACAAAATTAGATATACTACAATTATTAACAATCCTCTAAGCAAGGGAATTTCTATTAGGGAAGGGTTAAAACATACTAAAAAAAGTAAATAATTAATGTGTATACACCATTACAATTTTATATTGATATATGATTTATGTATTTTGAAGAAAAAGTTATAGTTATCCTATAAATTAGGGAAGTTATATATAATACCTCGTCGTACGTAATAAATGGACTAACAGTGCTGGAACTCGTGCAAGGTGCAAATTAATTCATTAGGTTTTACTAATGAATGTACCTGTTAACGTTCCACATTTCCAGACTGGCGCTTCGAACATCCAATTTACCATGCGTCAAGGGCATTCTACGGCCGCGGTTCCTCATTTCCTTTAATCCAGTATCCCTGGCACGGACCGGATATTTCACACTCATTATCAGCACCAATTACTTTACGAAATGCATAAACATTAAATTACGTAACTTCGACTGGTATACGGCTTAGGGGATTTCAGGGAAGACATTATAGTTTGTCATTTCATAAAATATATCAGTTTATAAAATATATTAGGGATGTTTGTGCGGTGAAATTTAGGTTGACACTGATTCCACTCTGTATCCCATAAATGTTGTCCATGCGCTCGTCGCCTTTACCTCTTTGATATTCCAATTCAGGAAGTATCCATGTCATCGATTCCTGTATTAAAAATAATTACTTTTTATCTTGTTGTGTACGTTGA